TGTCAAAAGCAATAATTGCGGCGAATTTATTTAATGAAACTATTTTGTGAAATTTTTATATTTTATAAAAAATACACATAAAAATATAAAATTTTCTGAAGATAATGTACCCTGAGTGGAATAACGTTTGTTCCAAAATGAAAAATTCTACTCCGGCAAATAATTTTGCAATACTTAAGTTTCTGCCAAAAATTATGAAAAATTAATATTTTTGTGAAAAATAAACATAACAAGTTAGAGTGTTATATTCGGCTATGCCGAATCTTAAATATCCTCCACCAGCAAGCTACTTTTTATTGAAACCCATCTAACTATCTAATTTTTAGATAAGTCGCCAAAATTTTTGTCGAACTAATTTTGATTAGGTCCAGAAAAATTTAGAATGATTTATCTATACACAGAACATACTTATGTCGAATTTTATCCTGATATAATAATTTAATAACGAATTAAGTGGTATTAAGTGATTTTCAACAGTTAACCTTATATGGGAGCTAAGACAACTTATGGACCGGTCCGGAAAAAATTCCGTATAATGATTTATATACATATATACAAAATACACATTTATGTCAAATTTTATACCTACATGTGTATAAAATGTGCGTTTAAGTAATTTTCAGAAATGACCCTTATATGGGAGTTGTGACCAAATATGGACCGATCCAGAAAAAATTGTATACCTATGTATAAAATGTGCGTTCAAGTAATTTTCAGAAATGGTCCTTATATGGGAGTTGTGACCAATTATGCACCGATCAGGAAACAATTTCGTATAATGCAGAAAAAGATCAAGTATAATTTTACTCCAATAGGTGCGTTTAGGTGATTTTAGGAATTGAACTTTATATAGGAGCTATGAGCAATTAAGGGCCTATCCGGAAAAAATTTCGTAGAGTGATTTATGTAAAGACAAAACATATAAGTGTCGAATTTTCTCAAGATAACTTTATTTGACAATGAAATATGTGCGTTTAAGTGATTCTCAGAAGTGGACCTTATATGGGAGCTATGACTAATAATGGACCGATCCGAGAAAAAGGTGGTTAAATGATTTGTATGTATACAAAACTTATTCAAGTCGAATTATATTCCTATAGCTTAAGAATTCAATGAAATATATGCGTGTAAGTGATTTTCGGAAGTGGACCTTATATGGGAGCTATGACCAATTATGGGCCTATCCAGAAAAAATTTCGTAGAGTGATTTATGTTTAGGCAAAACATATTTGTGTCGAATTTTATCAAGATAGCTTTACTTGACGTTGAGATATGTGCTTTTAAGTGATTTTCGTAAGTGGGCCTTATATGGGATCTATGACCAATAATGGACCGATCCGTAAAAAATTTTGTAGAAAGATTTGTATGTGTACAAAACAGATTTGTGTCGAATTTTATCCCGATAGCTTTATAATTCAATGAAATATATGCGTTTAAGTGATTTTCGGAAGTCGACCTTATATGGGAGCTATGACCAATTATGGGCCTATCCGGAAAAAATTTCGTAGGGTGATTTATATTTAGACTAAACATATTTGTGTCGAATTTTATCAAAATATCTTTATTTGACAATGAAATATGAGCTTTTAAATGATTTTCGGAAGTGGGCCTTATATGGGAGCTATGACCAATAATGGACCGATCCGCAAAAAATTTTGTAGAATGATTTGCATGTACACAAAACATATCCAGCCCGAATTTTATCACAATAGCTTTATTCATCAATGAAATATGTGCGTTTAGTTGATTTTCGGATGTGGACCTTATATGGGAGCTATGACCAATTGTGGACCGACTGAGATCTACGTTAGTAGTATGATTTCTGTTCATATTATATTTATATATACAAAATTTTGTGTTGATACCGATATATTTGAGGGAGTTATTAACGATAAACTAATTTCCGGGAATATATACCTTTGTATGGGGGCTATGGGAAAAATTGGATCGATTGTAAAGATTTTGAACATAATTAATCACTGTCCTGAAAAAATAATGTATGACAAAATTCATCGCAATATCTTTAGTAGTTTCTGAGAAAACTTCAAAAGAATTAGGAAAAAAACGTAATTTTTTTCGAGGTAGTCTGAAATTTTTACTCATAACTTTTTACGTTGTGAACCGATTTTGCTGATTTTCAATACCAAACTGCTTAGGATAATAATAAATGTTTTGGGTGAATTTGGTTGATTGCCTTTACTTAGTTTTAACGTGAGCGTGTTTTACACAGACAGACAGACAGACAGACGGACAGACGGACATAGCTAAATCGACTCAGAATTTCATAAGGACCCAGAATATATATACTTTGTTGGGTCTTAGATGAATATTTCTTGGTGTTACACACGGAACGACAAACTTATATATACCCTCTATCACCACTGATGGTGGTGGAGGGTATAAAAATGTAAAAATTTACGGAAAAATTATATACCGAATGAAAGATTCTTTGTTGTAAATGGAAAAAGCTATTTTTAAAATTTACACGTTGTAGTCAGCTGCCGCCGGACGGATAAATACCTCATATGGGTTTTGTTATAAAAAGCGTTCCGGAAAAGAATTTTGTTAGTTAATCACATTACATACACAGTGTAAATGCAAAACAGTTTATTAAATTTTTTTAGATCTCAAAATTGACCATAACATAGAAGACAGCTGCCGGCGGTCGGCGGTCGGCGGTCAGGTAAATACCTTATGTGGGGTTTTATATAAAGTGTTACGGAACAGAAGTTTTTTTAGTTAATCGCGTTATCTACAAAGTGTAAATATAAAATATAAAACAATATTGTTTAATTTTTTAAACATTTAGACTGTGTGCCAAACGGCAACTTTTATTGAATTTTTTGTTATTAAAATAAATTTCTACAATCATAAACTGAAATTATAAAATATTTTATTTTTAGTATTTTAAAATATTTCTTTACATTTGTCAAAAATTTATGTAGCCCTATGAGCTGGTAAAATTTTGTTTACCTCATATCTATCAGAAATTTACATTTTCAAGTAAATGTTACCGATTGGCACACACTCTTAATAAAAAAATATTATTGTTATATTAAGTTGGTACATGCGTACCAATTATTCATTATTTATTTTTCTCTGTTTCAACGGAAATTTTTACATATGAAAATGTAAACAATAACAAACTCTGACGTCAGTGCGTACCAGTCAAGTGAAGAAAACAATAATCAGCTGATTGAATAACACCACCTTATGCGAATTCGCCTTGATGCTTCTTCTTTAATGTATGGTTATTCTCAAGGCGAATTCAGATAAGGTGGTGTTATTCAATTAGCTGATTATTTTTTTTTTATCACTTGACTGGTGCGCACTGATGTCAGAGTTTGTTATTGTTTACATTTTTATATTTAAAAATTTCCGTTAAAACTTCGTTTGTATTTTGAATAATTTATGTAAAAAAACTGAAAATATCAAGCATTTTGTAAACGAATATTTTTCTTATATGTATGTACCAACTTAATATAACAATAAAATTTTTTTCTATTAAATGTTAACGAATTAAACAATATTGTTTTATATTTTATATTTACACTTTGTAGATAACGCGATTAAATAAAAAAATTTTGTTCCGGAACACTTTATATAAAAAACCCACATGAGGTATTTACCCGAACGGCGGCAGCAGTCTTCTATATTATGGTCAAATTTTGAGATCTAACAGAAAAATTAATAAATTGTTTTATATTTACACTGTGTATATAATGTAATTACTAACAAAATTCTATTCCGGAACTCATTTTATATCAAACCTGATATGAGGTATTTATCCGTCCGGCAGCTGACTACAACGTGGAAATCTTAAAAATTACTCCGCCGGAGTAGAATTTTCCATTCACAACAAAGATTCTTTCATTCGGTATATACTTTTTCCATTAAGTTTTACAATTTTATGTTTATTTTTCACAAAATTATTAATTTTACATCATTTTGTGCAAAAACTTAAGTTTTTTCAAAGCTCTAAAAGAATTCATTCCCTAATTCTTTTTTAGAAATTGAGTTATATTTTAAAGAATTAGCAATTCTTCAAACTCATTCCCTTTGATTTAATTCCTAGAATTAATTCTTGAAGCCTTCGATGTAGTCGAATTAATTTTCTAATGAATTAATTCATATAGAATGTTAAATTCCTTCTGAATAAATTAATTTTTTTTGCATTCAATCTGTTACAAATTGAATTAAAATAAATTTAAAGAATTCCTATTGATTTTTAAATTCTTTCTGAATGATAAAAATTTTGTTTTAATTCAAACTATTACAAATTGAATTTAAAAATTTTTTAACCATTCAATTTGAAATAGATTGAATGAAAGTTTTGTTTTATAATTCAATACAGAATGCTTGTATATTAAACATTGAATTAAACATTTTTTCTTTCATTCAATTTGTAATAGAAGGAATTAAACAAATAACAATGATCATTCAATTGAATTCATTCCTGTAAAGAATGAATTCTTAAGGGCCCTTTAGACGATAACACTTTTCATACGTCTAATGAAAAATTAAAAATAAATTCCATCCGCGTGACAAAATAGAGAATAAAAGTCGTATGATTTATATTTTTTGTGTTTACACGACTGGTATAAAACAACAACAAAGTAAGATGGAAACAGCTGTTTCACTTTTTTTGTATGTGTTTACATAAAAATACATCCCTGATCTAATGCGACTTGCTTAATTTTTGAAACATTTAAAAAAATGAAGAAAGTTATACGACTGTCAAATTTTCCATCCGTATTTTCTCTCAATGTGTAATGATTTCATTACATATTGAGTTTAGACGATTCCATCCGTTCTCTTCTACACAAAATTTCAGACCATATTACTTACCTGTGTGCTTGTGTAAAGAGGGTTTTGGGTACTTTTTTCTGACAAATATGTCATAACACTAATAAATGCTGACTATACCTGAGAATTTTTTATCTTGACTACAATAGTTATTAAGTGTTCACAAGAAAAAATATAATTATTCAACATTTGACAACTTGACGGCGAGATCATTAAACAGCTGTTGATCTTTCTATACAGTTGTGATTTATTAGTATAATTATTATTATTATTAAATTTTGTTAAAACTTGTTTATGCTTTTGTTTGTTTTATAAAAAAGTTTATTTTTATTAATCATCAATATTAGTAAGTTCCTTTAGACAAATTAGTTTAAGATGTGTAACAAAAATTGGGGTTCTTTTATCTCAAATTATAAAAATTTTATTTGTATCTACATACATACATGTATGTATGTAACTATGTACTTAAGAGCGTTTAAGGATTACTCCAGAAAGGACATTCCAAAATAACTCGGAAAACATTGTCCATAGCTGTATTAAATATGACAATATTAATACTAAAATGGATCGTGTACTCAATTAATAGTTGCAGGGGATTATTTTTATGATTACCTGTATGTACCAAGAATACCAATAATGTTTTCATTGTTATATGTGCCTTCGTGTATATGTACATATCTCATTTTTTACCTTCCTAACCCGCGAATTGTTCTATGGGAACGGTTTTTAAAAATCTAATTGTTTATTTTAAAAGAGAACAAGACATCGACGTTTGGGTGTCAAACGTTACGTATTAAGCGTCCTCAGTTTCCTCAGTTGGTCTTAAAAATTCCATAATTTTGGGCTTATCGCGGGAAAAAATTAAAATATTTATTACTGTATTTTTGGCCCGCAAACGACTTTTAGTGTATTATAAGGAGTATATAAATTTCAAAATTATCTAAAAACTCCGAAATGGACTAAACCAAATGCCAAACTATTTTTTAAAAATATTTTTCTATATAAGCTTAAAACTACGAAAATGTTTACACATATTTTGATAAAAGGCGAAAAAAATATGCCTCTTCAACCCACTAAAAATCATATTGTGGACCAAAAATACTCTACAATTTTAAAATTATTTTTCCCGTAATCAGCTCAAAAATACTTAATTTTTGAGATTCATTAAAGTTTTATATAAATATTACTTTTTCTTTATGAGAAAAATAAATATTTTTACCAACACTTCCTTAAACCCCTGTTATGGAATTTCTAACAATTAGCTGTAATATTGCATGATACAGAAAAGAGTATACAGTGGTGAAAAAAATAATAGAAACGACTTTATTTTGTGTTGAAAACAGAATTTTCTCGAAAATTAACCTTTAGAATTTGATGATTAGTATCTTAAATAAAAGGTATTTATCTCTTCTTTCGTATGATATATCTATTTTATACATTTAAACATTTGCTCCATCGTATTTTATTGGTATTCAAAAAATTTGGCTTTGGAAAAAATTATTACAATTGCATAAGCTAAGATATCATTAAAGACGTTTTTGTATTTAGTTTTGAAAATGTTAATTACAAATGAAGTTCTTAATATAAAAATATAAGTTATACTTTATTTTCTATGATAACGATCGTTATTTCACCGTTTAATTTACCATATGATTTCCAGCAGAAAAAGTTTTAGATCCACTTATAGATGATAATGGCAATCCACCGATTTTTGGTACAAATTTTGAGCAAAATTTAAATTTTTGCAACTAAACCCGGTCCAGGAGGTTAAAATGTGACTTATATACCAAAGTATCATGACAAACTGGTAAAATTATATTAAATTAATTTAAATTTAACACAAAAAGTTCAAAAAATTAAAAAAAATTTAAAATTCATCTTGAGTTAGGTTATTGTTTGGGAATTAAAAGTATAGTATTAAAACGTCAAAAATGATATTTCTTCGTATTTTTTCACAAAATGAAAGTATGTATATGACTTTAGAAAAGGTAAAAAAAAATAAAAAATATTTTGTTTTCCTTATTTTAAAACTTTCTGTTTCATTTTTTGGGTTAGATCGTATTGTCTCTATACTAGTATATGCGTTTATATGAAAATTTATTAAATAATTTTAATAAAAATAACGAATAGAAACATTTTAGAAATTGCTTTGCGTGCGGGAAATTTTTTCACCGAATTTTACATTATTTGCTATATGGCAGTGCTGTGGCATTTTATATAATAAAATTTATATTCGCAACTTATCAAAAAATTACAAATACTAATTAATACAATTCGTAAATTCGATCATTTAAGGGGTAAAACCGTACCAATTTTTGGTACACCTTTAATACAACTTTGTTTCCTATTTACCTATATTTATAATTATGGGATCTCACTGCATTTTTGGAATATACTTTCTTTTACTTCCACTGGAAGAAAATAAGTAACACAAAATTTTAAATCTCGGAAAATTTTTTATTCATTCTTATTCAACCAGTTTTGATAAATTTTATAGAATTTATAAATTATTATAAATTAAGTCACACGAAATAGAAACAAGGCCTATCTATAATTCATAATTGAATTTTCTGTAATAATGTAACCATGAAGCATTAAACATGTAATGTCCTGAATTAATAGAAAGCCATAACATTTGGAATTCTGCAATGTTTAGTAATGTTAGAAACAGACATATAAAAGTAATTCCGCGGGATCCTGAGTGAATGGAAATCAAATTATTGGACTTTTTCGCTCTACTTTCTGTTTTTTTTACATGATTGCACTTAGAGGCATAAAATTAAACGTGCAGGGTGCCGGTTGAATGGAAATCTGTAATATCAGCCGGTACTTTTAAAATTTTTTAAAACAATTAATATGTACTAGAATATTAATTAAAATGAAGAGTTAATGACAATGTAGAGTAGTGACTATGTGGTATTTTTGTATTTCCATTAATATTTGCCCTAAAAATTCAAATCAACATTCAGAGTTCTGAATGGAAGGAAATCTGTATGAAGGGACCAGTGTGACCATTTTGGCATTTTTGCAGCTAGATTTAGCATTTTTTATTTTGATTTAGCTGCAAAATTTTAATTTAGCATTTGGCATTTTATTTAGCATTTTTATAAAATATTTTTAGCATTTTTAGCTTTTTTTGCAATTTTAGTATATAAACAAAAAAAGAAAAATTTTTGCAAACAAGATTTATATTGGAAATAGGTTTAACCGGAAAAAATCAGAATTAAATGTCTACCCAAACACAAGCAACAAGAAATATGAGAAATGTAATAATTTACCCTGTAATTCAAAATAATGCAAAAAGATTCATGAAGATAAATAACTTAAAATTACGCCAATACAAGTGAATACTTTAAAATGTTGTATTCTAAAATATTTTTCTGGAACCCAATGCTTTTTTAAATTCGAGGTGATAGAAATAATTCAAGAGATTTCATATATTTTTACAAATACGTTCAGTACGCTATTTTACAAACTAATACTTTTTGTTTGCTCATGGAATGAAACATATAATTTTGGAAAAGGCTATGTATGACGGTTAATTAACAAATTTTATTTTTTCCTATACGAAATAAAGAGGTTTTAATTTTTATCATCCTTCAGGAGTTCTTGTTAATTTATTGAAAATAAGTATTGAAAAAAATCAATAATATATAATTAAGACTTTCTCATCCTACTTTCTGTTCTTTTTATTTTTACCACATTTTTAGTAATTTTGTTGTCACGTTTTTTTTTAATTAAAAAAAATACATAAATTTCGAAAATATTATTGACAATTTATTCCAGAATTACAAACTTACGGATTTGAATATATCTCTCAATTCATTTCATACATTCTCATATATATTTTTCCGAAAAAATCTTGGAAGTATGAGTTATAAACCTGACATCTATACACCGAGATTTAAAATTATTTCAACGGAATTTTCAATATTTTTGTGACATGAAAACCATTTTTAAAGTGTTTTGAGGAAGACAAATAAAATTGTTTATATAAAAAAAAGTAAAACTAGAAATATACTTTTCCTCCCGAAACACATATAGGTTTTATACCATGAGCAACTAATGTAATTAATATAGTTTTAATGTAATTTTTGCATTCAGAAATATTTTAAAGTTAGAGACATTACATATTGCTAAATTTACAAAAATTTTGAAATAATTTTTAGCATTTCTGTTTATCTTAATACCACGGAACTTAATTTTTTACTATACTCCACTATACTACGTTTGAGTATACTAATCGGTTAAGAATCATTTTCTGAATCGATTAAGCCATGTAAGTCTGACCGTCTGGTAGAGGTTGAAATTTTCAAAACCAATTTTGATCCAATGACAAAACCTTTTAAAAATGGTTAAAGTCCGTCCTTTATTTTACCTAGCCCCCATACATATACAAATGTATAAAGCCTTTCTTAGAAAATTAGTTTAAATATATTGAAACCAAGGTTCAATTCAACATAAATGCTTTATTACGAAAAATAAATCAAATTTTATACTCATATGGTCAACTACGGCAGAATATACTTTCTTACTTGTTATAAATTACAATGAATTTCAGTTACAAATTAATATCAATTGTTCATAAAAACACTAAAAAAATTTTAGCATTTTTTTTGGCATTTTAAAATCAATTTAGCATTTTTTCTAGCATTATTTTGGATGGGATTTAGCCGCAACATCTTTTGAGACCTGGTCACACTGGAAGGGACTTTGGAAATTTTCATTCTAAAACTGTAGGTAGGTAGTTTGATAGGAGGATGTATACTACATCAAATCTGAAGAAATACCTACACCTAGAGCACTATCGGGCCTGTTGTGCGGTCCATATCTGAAAAAAAAACCTAAGAGAATTGAATGTATTATTTTTCAGTGTTCATAAACTCAGTTTCCTGAACGTAATTCCTAAGAATCTTCCAATCAGTGTTAGTCGGGAATGTTATTTCCGGAATAACATGACTTCCAAGATACTTGGCTCTAACATCGACGAATGCCTGGCAGTGGCAAAGAAAATGCTCCAGAGTTTCACTGTCCTCTCCACATGCTCTACATTCGTCTGAATCCGCACGTCCAATTTTGCATAGATGTGCTCATAATCCTGTGTGTCCACTCAGAATACGTACCATCATACTAACTTCAGACTTGCTCATTTTGAAGAGATTTTTCGTCTTGCTCTCATCAGGGTCACCCATAGGATCTTCGGATAGCGGTGTCCTTATCAGGCTTCTTCCTCGCTTTTAGGATTTGACTCCTCAAAATTACCAGTACTTCCCAGCAAAAAATAATTGATGTCATACTTTACAAACGACATCTTAATCACATCTAAAAATGCGATTGCATACTTTT